GTGTGTGTGTGTGTGTGTGTGTGTATTTGGCACTGTCACTGATTTTTTAAAGGCCTAGGATTAGGATAGTTTCCTCAGGAGTGTCAACTACTGGCTGGTTGAAGCGTTTTATCCTTTTCATTTCTCATGGACTGCGGTGTGATTGTCTTGGACCAGCTGAACACACTTGGAATGATACCTAGTTTTACTTGTCTTCTTTGGGGTGAAGGTGCAAACAACAAAATAATATATATATATATTTAGCAAACGAATATCAAAATAGTACATTAGAGCACATTAGGAATGCCATGTTCGCCTGAACAATCATTTCTTAGTGGAAGTTCAGTGAATAGTAGGAAGTAACGGAATTTGTTTCCGGGATTCTTTATCATCCTGTATTACTTTCACTTCGTGTTTGTTTCCGGGATTCTTTATCAGCCTGTATTACTTTCACTTCGTGTTTGTTTCCGGGATTCTTTATCAGCCTGTATTACTTTCACTTCGTGTTTGTTTCCGGGATTCTTTATCAGCCTGTATTACTTTCACTTCGTGTTTGTTTCCGGGATTCTTTATCAGCCTGTATTACTTTCATTTCGTACAAAACATAAATGATTTGACAGAATGATTTCAACTTCGTAATGCATATACGACAGTACTTCCAATATTCATAACCGATCATTCCTGTTTGTTTGTCGAATTTCGTGAAAAACTACTCGAGGGATTATATGTGCTAGTCGTCCCTAAATTAGAAGCGATAGTCTTAGAAGGAAGGCAGCTAGTCAACACCATTCACTACTAAACTCTTGGGCAAGTCTAATCAATTTTATTTGTTTGTTTGTTTTTGAATTTCGCGCAAAGCTACACGAGGGCTATCTGTGCTAGTCGTCCCTAAATTAGAAGCGATAGTCTTAGAAGGAAGGCAGCTAGTCAACACCATTCACTACTAAACTCTTGGGCAAGTCTAATCAAATGAGGGATTGACCGTCACATTATAACACCCCCACGGCTGAAAGAGCGAGCATATTCGGAAGTGAGATTCTAGTCTAACCAGAGGCCACGATTATACGTGAAAATATGGAGTTTTTAGCGTACAGACCTGCTGATTCGGTACAAATATCTGAACGCGAAATTGGTTTATTGGATAAGTCGCAGCACGTTAACGTAAGAATGAAACTGTTTTACTCAGAATTCACCCGCTATATCCTAGCCATTTTTGAAACCATAATTGCGCTGTGTTAAAATGAATTATTTTATTTTGTTTTCTCTGGGTGTATAAATCTGATTCACATGTAGTGTTTACATTTCGTCACTTTCTTACTTTCTTTCATCAACCATCTTACTCAGGAACCCCTGATGACGAAATTGTGCTCAACCAGCCGTCAACGCCTGTTCGATCAAGACTCAAAACGAATGGCCACTTTACAGCGTTCATGCAAACCCGATGTGACGCAGGAAAACCATCTCTGTCCGGAAAAAGTATCAACACTCTTGACTGTAAGTGCTAAAGTAGCTAGCTTCTCGAGATCCGATTTATATTGCAACGCCGCCAAACGAATACATACGAAATCCAAAACAGCTGACTGCTCTAATATTGTTTATGCTATTAAGTAGAAGTTTAAATGTTGTTATCCCGTTTGCCTTTCAGTCCGGTCAAGAAACGAAGGAAACGTTTAAATGTTGTTATCATGTTCGCTTTCCAGACCAGTCAACAATACGAAGGAGGCTAGGAGTTGTCGTATCAAACTTTTATTTTTAATCTACCCTAGAAGTGAAATGTTTAAAAAAAATATGGTTGACAGTGAATTTAATAGAAATTAATTTCACAAAGTCACATATCTCCAAAGTCCCGTAGGATGTCGTTTTAGTAATTAAGAAAGATGAGGCTTAAGGAATCTGAATATTTTATATATTACATAAATTATCGTGTTACTACGAAACATTTGAAAATACACTAGGTACACCTAATTGAAAAAGTTTCCAGGAGTCTTTAGCTTAAGTTTTCACGAACGACAAGTTATTAATGACATAGAAATGTCAAGTACTGTTCCTTGGAAGTTTCGTATCTGGTAGATCACCTTCTATGGGTTTTGTTTATTTATTAAGATTGATACAAAAAATACCAATAAAACTGAAAGGTATTCATTTGCTATTACAATAAAAGTAAAAACATGTTCTTTGTAATGTTCACACGCAAATTAGACTAAACATGCAAGTTATTAGTTCGACGAAACGGAGCTTTGATATAATTCGTATGCTGATTGTGTGGTAAGTCATACCAGGCCAGAAATACAAGTGATTGGACAGAAATGACTTACTTTTAGTAGACAACCAACAACAAGGTAAAACTGACACGTGAATTTCTGTGAACAGTCAAGTTGGTTTTAAGTACGTGAGCGTGTTATCAGATAAGACTCGTTAACAGAGAAGTAAAACAACACGCAATACAAGTTGTGGCCTAAGAGTACAAACATCCTACAGGGGCAAGATTAGCAAGACACATTCATATTCTGTGTTATAGAAGGATTTAGTTTAAAACACTGTTAGCAGCTAATATGTTACGTGTTTGATACGTCCAAATATTCATGTGCCGTAGTTTCTAAGCTTAAAGACCACGAAAGTTGAAACTACTGGCCAAGACAAACACGTGGTATAATTATGAAGTTTGTGCAATCCTAATACAAACTGTTCAAACTATAGATTGCTGTATAAAAGGTGGTCATAAATTTTGTCCAATATTCCCAGTTAAGCCATTAGCACTAGTTTTTTGTTTCTCGCTTACGTGTATCACTAGGTGTTTATATACATACACTCCCACATATAATCTAACCCATTAGCACTAGTTTTTGTTTCTCGCTTACGGGTATCACTAGGTGTTTATATACATACACTCCCACATATAATCTAACCCATTAGCACTAGTTTTTGTTTCTCGCTTACGGGTATCACTAGGTGTTTATATACATACACTCCCACATATAATCTAACCCATTAGCACTAGTTTTTGTTTCTCGCTTACGGGTATCACTAGGTGTTTATATACATACACT